TTTAAAACGTGTATTGATAATATTTTGGTTTTAGGAATATTTTAAAGCAGTTAAAATACTAAAATACCAACATTAAAGTCTCTAATATTTCTGTAATAACAACAAACATCTGTTAAGGTTCTTAATTTAAAAAGTATTTTTATTCCATAAAATGAAAACAAAATTATTTTTAGTTAGTGGATAAATGTTAAACTTAAACTGTTCGAGATCCAAAATCCAGTTTATCGTTATTCTTTACTGAAACAAACAAGTTTTAACAACATCTTGTAAAGATTGTGTGTTGGTAGCTTTATTTAGGACACGTTCTTAACGATTATTGCTTTTCGGAAAATTTCGTTGCAAAAGTTAAATTTATATAAACAAGAATTTCCGTTACAAATCACCGAAACTAATTTTGGGTTATAATAAAATTTGGATTATGAGAAATACATTTTTTTAACGCCATTAAAAAGTAAAATATAATTAATGTCTTCATTATGTTTAATGTAACACTATAAAATACCTTCTTAAGACAATATAGGTACCAGCCTTAGACAACGAGCCATTATAATCAGATTACCATGCTTCGTTAGTGTAAACTAAGCTTAAAAACATCCGTAAGAAATTTAAAACCAAAAACACAATTTAAATTGTTAATGCGTGACATCACTTAAAGAAAGCTCTTAACCCGAAAATAACCCAAAGGTGTTTGTTTGCCTTTTCGTAAAACCTTTTCGTTCAACACGCCATATTTTCCGAAAGAATCGTATATATTTACAGGAAGACTAAAAATGTCCGGGAGGACGGGAACTAGAAATAGATTTTTTTGGGGTGAACGGCCTAAAGGGATAACGTAAAATACGACTCGCATCGGCCCAAAGTTTGTTGACACTGGGATCTAAAAATGTTACCAAGTCAAAAGCGTGAAAACTGTATCACAAAGCCTACAAGAAAATAAATTGTGCTGGAGGAAATAACCTTATATTTTGTAGCAGAAGGTTGGGAAACAGTGAATCTGTCAAAAAATACTATTTTTTTGTTGAATAAGTGGTTTATACGGGTTTATATTATCTTATACGCTACATAAAGTTCATTTTTTTCATCTGGACTGCGGCAACTTTGCAAATTTAGGGTTTTGGTTGGTAAATACAGTTGTCAAGTTGGTCGCATTGATTAAAACAAACTAAGTTAGTTATAAATCTAATTGTGGTTATGTATAAATTATTGTAGGTTACATTGTGCAGTTGTCAAGTTGAGTTGTCGAAATTCGTAGTTAAAAATGCAATTAATTTGGCTTTGGTGGTGCTTGGATGAGTAAAATCATATAAAAAAGTAGTTAAATATAGGTTGCTTCACGGCCCAGAAGAGAAAGTATTCCTAGCGGATAATAATATTCGCTTTGAAAAGAATTTGTATAAAAGAAATTAATTGTGAACGTAAATGTTGTCCAATGGTGAATAATGTGAAAATAATGTGTGATGTTAATATTTATAAAACCAAATTCGGTTTTTTTTACTCCAAAAATGTCTATAAGGCGATGTACTTTTTCTTCCATTGTGGCATTTGGCATAATTTCATCAAAATGAAGTTTTGCTCTCAAAAGGGCTTTTACATTCGAATTCATTGCTATTATTTTTGGCATAATTATTTTTTTATTTATAATTGACAAGTAAATTATCAATAATAAATATTATTGTCAATTTGACACTGTCAAAGTATTTAATTAAATTCTTTAGCAGAAGTACAATTTTTAAATACTAAAAATACTAAGTCAAACTGGCATAACCTAACAAAAAAACACGAGTCCAGATAAAAAAAATGAACTGTATACAGTGTCCAAAAATAGGCAAATTACAGATAATTAAAAAAATTACAGTTTTTATATCATTTGACTGGACTTGAAACAGCCGGTCCAAACCGAGTGCATTTGGCAACACTGTCTAAGGCACCTGCGGGTGATTGGACCTTGAGAAGGGACCCAGGGGGAGGTTAGGTAGACTGTAGCGGAATGTAACTCGACGACCCGACTTGAGGCCATGTGACCTCCTCGGCGCTAAGCCGTCTTGATCAACGGGAAGTTGAAAAAGGCCAGATTTTTCAGCTCATTGTTGGTAAAAAAGAAACACCCTGCTCTCTATCTTTCTAGCGAAATACAAATGCCATTTGGTGTCGGTCTAGTTACATGTGGCCAGCAAATGTGCAGAAAGTTTTAGAATTGGATATTTAAACATTTATTAGATTAAATGCAAAATCTTTAGGTTAAGTTAAAATGTAGATAAATATTTTTATACTCCAGGAATATTCAGAAAAAGCCAAATTAATTTTTTTAAGCTTTATGTTTTTTTATCATTAAATAAAAAAGGTAAGGTTAAGTAAAATAATAAGTTTAAGATTTTTAACAAATCAAATGGGTAAGTACTCAAATATTTTTACTATCTAGTTCTTTCAAGGTGTTCTTGATTTTCATCTAATTAAACCCATGTCAGGAAAGACGTACTGCCTCACCAAAAACGAATTTTCCCATATTAGAGTTATTGTTTTGATTCAAACGTCTCCTAATCACGATTCCACAATCAGAGCCCCACATATTTCTTCGGCACACAGTCATGGTTCGAATGATACGAAAGTCAAGGTTGGCGTGGGAAATTAAAGTTTAACGAGAGTGCCATGAAGTAAAGCAACCTACACATGTGTGGTGCATTGTTTTAGGCATTTTACTGTAATAAAATGCTTACAAACGAGCAATTAATCGAATTATAGGTAATTCGGTGGGTATTTAATGATTTTTAGTGCTCACTTAAATTAAATTTCACACGATTTTGGTTACTTTCCCCTTCGTATGGGCGAGGGTGTGCCGCTTAAGCCAAGAAGCAACAAGTCGACTGGAATCTCGTCTCGCCGGCCGTGTTGCCGAATTTCCATGCATGGCCATGTGCGTTTTATATTGTTAAATTGAGCAGTAAGTTATGATGCTACTTATCTGCAGTTTCGATCGCGTAAGAAAAAAGAATGATTTACTTTCTAGTAATGTAGGTATGCATTGTGGATAACGATGATACATGATGATAAAGATGATACAAATAGTGAAAAAGAATGCAAAACCCAATTATAAAAAATTAGGTGAGATTTTTAGAACATTATAAACTATGTGGTTAATGTCAACAGATTGAAAATTCGTGCAAATAATAAAATAAACACTTATTTAATTCCATTTTTTCTTTTATCATTATTAAAAGGCTTTCAATATACTAATATAGGGTATTATTGTACTAACTAATATTTATACCTATAAGTGTTTTTGAGTAATATTAAAATTTGTTAAATATAATACGCCACCCATTAAATTGCAATTATCTTCTTAACAAACCCCACACTCTGTATTGTATATTGCAATTGCAATCATTAACTTTTAGGTTTTATTGTTTCTTATACCAAATTATAGTGTTTCAAAAGACAGTAAATATAAACAATAAAAAACACTTAGTCGGGGTAAATGAACTTCAAGTACCTACACACTCTGCCTAACTAAGTCTTATCTTTGTTTTAAAACACTGTAAAGGAAGTTTTACAAGCGTCGGATATTTAAAACAGTATAGGTAATTTACTTGGTTACTATTTTTTTACTATATGTAAAAGACTTTTAAAATGTGTAAGATTGTTTAACTTGTCCACTTTTTTAAATAGATTATCTTCAATTTAATACAAAAATAATAAATTTTCCCAAAGAGACACAAAATGTAATTCAGTACAAAATAAGTTTTGATCAATTTCAAACTTTTCTGTATGAGAACACTAATTGATTGACTTCATGATGGTAGTCGCGTGCCATTATATGGGTAAAAGGGGCCATATTACAAAAAGTACCGTTGCCCGTATAGGTAGCTACAAATACCATAGGGTGAAATTTTTACATTGCAATTATATTTTCACATCTGTTGTTCGATATATGTTCACATAGTTCACTTAAATTAAAATTAAATATATTGGCATCAAAAACCCTATTCATTATATTTTGAACCGCGGCTGAAAATAATTCGCAGATATTTTCGAGATAGTCACAAATCGTATTTTTTTCTAGACAATTATCTTAGTCAACATCAAAGGTGCAGTTTAATGAAGTGTGATTCATTTAACACAACCTACCAATAATTTATTTAGGAATCGGCAAATTTAATTATCAAATAAATTGATGGGTGTAGATAAACATATTTGTTGACATTTAAGGAGCCGATTGTTCAACCCACAAAATATTTGTGTAAATAATAAAATCGTTATCTGCGACTTATCACGGTAGAAATGTTTGAATATTTTACTGGAAACACACGCATTGGGTACCCCGCGTGACAGGTAGGTAACCAAACAAAACAAACGCACATATCTAACCTGTTGCATAACGGGAGGGTTTCCGAACAATCGCAGGTGCCATTAGACTTTTTGTTTGAACAGGTAGCAAGTTTTTAAACACCTACTCAAATTATTGAAATATGTTAAGAAACCACCAATATTTACCATGACATCAAGTTCTAAAAATGGCAAATGACAACGCAGTAGACAATTTAAGAAGCGGACATAACCTCGAAAGTACCGAGTATTATCATACTTGAAAACTGGAATGTCGCGGAGCAAAGAAAAAGGCAAATTTATACAACTGAAGCTGTCTGCACTCTTGAAGAACCAAGTTACCTACTTACTTGCCAGTGTATAAGGCATAAAATAGCCACGCCTCTAGAATTTTTACAACAAAGCCACAGTAAATTAAATTTCACAAATCACCCCGATGTTGTGTACCAGAACTTGTGATGTTTTAATAATTTTAATGTAAAGTTGCCTGAGATTGTGTGTGTAAATTTCAGACTGCAATAAAAACAGTTGATATCTTGAGCGGTATACGTCACAGATTTATCACATGTTAACAAAAACGATCGGAACTAGGAAATAGTGGCAAAAAATTGTGTCGAATTTGCACGGAGACGTGAAATGGGCGTTAAATGCGAGATAAAGCGTAAAAAAGAGTGACTAACCTTCATCCAAAAGACGCTCTACGTGAATAAACACATTGGGGAAGGCGGCTAGCTGTTTCCTATCTTTGAGTAACTGTGCCAAGTAGTCGGCTATGCTTTGCGTGGAGGCGGCTGTTTGGTCGCACATGTTGTACAAACTAATTGTTCACGATCACAGTTTTCGAATAAAAAACTATTGTTTGTCAAAATATCTTAGACCACCATCAATAAACTAAAATTCTTTCGTCAAATTCACAGCTCGCACAACAAACTTCGACTGATTCGGGTGCCGAGCGTACCGATGGTATGGAACCGATGCGAACGCAGAGCGGAGCATGCGCACGGGCAAAGGCACCTCTGCGCAGTTCGACTTTTGCCTTATAAGGTGGCTGTGCTTCTTAAAGAAAATTATCTTTTATTGAGTTCAACTTTTCTGTATAAAATTTCATTGTCGTCCTCGTCTTTCCCTTGCCAATTAGTTCCTTATTTGTAAGTTTTATATCGCTTTTTGTTTTGTTTACTATAATTGCAATTAGAAGACAGTTCTATTTTTAAACCGGCTTTAAAACCAACTCACATTTTATTGTGTTCAAGATATTTTCAAAACTTTAATAAATATCTTTATTTTTTATATGTTTCTCCTTTTTTTATTTAACAAATCAGTTTTGAGCTAGCAAAATAAATGTGTTTTATTTAGTTAGTAGGTATTATCATAAACATAAAACACAGATGGTATAAAATATCTATAGGAATTTCTAGTAGGTACCTACTTACCTTCCTATAAAACATAGGTAACAGGATGTTTCTTAAGTAGAGAAATTTAACAAAAAACCAGCATATTTTTATGAAAAAATTTGGGTTTCGAGACCAGTGGCGGCTGCAGCCACCATGGTGGGTTTTGGGTATTCCAATATTTCAGTTATTAGACATGGGACCCACGCCATATTTATAATAGTTTATAATGACATTAAATAGACAAGTTCGGCGCAAACAGAATTTTAATTAAAGTTTGTGAAAAAAAGTTAGTTTTTCCTGTCGCCTCACCCGCCTCCAGGCCCCCCTATTTAAGATAATTCAAATAAAAGTGGTGCAATTTATTATCTACTATAATTTATCGACAAATTTAAAATTTTATTTAAAAAATCCAAATATTACAGGTTTTGTACCATTTTAAATATTTTTTTATATTAATAAAATAAAAAATAAAAATTTAAATTCGAATAAATTTAAATAAGCCATTAAATCACTAGAACTATTTAACAGCGATTAAATTTTTGCCTCCATATTGGATTTTTGTTTACGATTTTATGGTGTTATTTACAAGTTTTAACAAACATTTTTTTAAAAACAATAAAAAATAAGTTATCTAGTTTACGAAATATCAATTATTACTTATTACATACCTTAAATTAATGGAATTTTCTTTAAAAAAATATTTATAAATTTTGACACATACGTATGAGGCGCCGTTTGTGTCAAAATTAAAAGTGCTAAATAAACTTATTTTGTTTTATAAATAATTAATTATATCCTTATAAAATTATTATTACTTTTGATTCGCAGAAAATTATTTTATAAAAAAATAATTTTATAAAAAAAAATTATTTTATAAAAAAATTATTTTATAAAAAAGTAATTTTATAAAAAAAAATTATTTTATAAAAAAATAATTTTATTAAAAAAAATTATTTTATAAAAAATAATATTTTATAAAAAAAAATTATTTTATAAAAAAATAATTTTATAAAAAAAAATTATTTTATAAAAGACGACGAGCGCATTTATAAATTAATTTTTACTGCAGCCATCTCTCTTTGTTTGTAGACACTCGAGTAAACCCGAGTGAACCCGAACGCGAACGCCCTTCCCCAGATACAATTTTATGACGGACTCGGCTTTTGTTTGACGCAATTTGGGGAAACGATTGAAAATAATAATTTATTATTTTTATTAATTGAGTAATTAATTTTTTTATCTACATTTATTTTGATTTTTAGTTTTTAACAAGAATTCTTTATGTTTAAACGTTTTTTATAAGAAAGCACTTTAGTTAAATGCAAAACAAATAATGATTTACACCTTTATCTAATAATTAACTGTTAAAATTGATTACCTTACATTTTAAATATCTAAATTTTTAAAAGTAAATTAACTTAACCTTTAATTCGACACCTGAGTCCCCGGGACTCGCATGCGAATTTTGTTGGCGCCTAAAGCCTAATTTAAAGATTGCCTTCCTCCTTTCTCCCTTCCTCCCGTAAAAGATAAAATTAATTAATTAATTAATAAAAATAATAAATTATTATTTTCAATCGTTTCCCCAAATTGTGTTAAACAAAAGCCCAGTCCGTCATAAAATTGTATCTGGAAGGGGCGTTCGGGTTCACTCGGGTTTCCTCGAGTGTCTACGAACAGCAGTAAAAATTAATTTATAAATGCACCCGTGGTCTTTTATAAAATAATTTTTTTTTTATAAAATTATTTTTTTATAAAATAATTTTTTTTTATAAAATTATTTCTTTATAAAATAATTTTTTTTATAAAATTATTTTTTATAAAATTATTTTTTTTATAAAATAATTTTTTTTTATAAAATTATTTTTTTATAAAATAATTTTTTTTATAAAATAATTTTTTTATAAAATAATTTTTTTTATAAAATTATTTTTTTTTATAAAATAATTTTTTTTATAAAATAATTTTTTTTATAAAATTATTTCTTTATAAAATAATTTTTTTTATAAAATAATTTTTTTTATAAAATAATTTTTTTTTATAAAATTATTTATTTATTTATTTTTTTATAAAATTATTTCTTTATAAAATAATTTTATAATGAAATAATTTTATAAAAAAAAATTATTTTATAAAGAAATAGGTAATTTTATAAAAAAAAATTATTTTATAAAAAAAATTATTTTATAAAAGACCACGGGTGCATTTATAAATTAATTTTTACTGCTGTTCGTAGACACTCGAGGAAACCCGAGTGAACCCGAACGCCCCTTCCCAGATACAATTTTATGACGGACTGGGCTTTTGTTTAACACAATTTGGGGAAACGATTGAAAATAATTTATTATTTTTATTAATTAATTAATTAATTTTTTCATCTACATTTATTTTGATTTTTAGATTCTTTATGTTTAAACGTTTTTTCATATACCTATAATAAGAAAGCACTTCTATAGTTAAATGCAAAACAAATAATGATTTACACCTTTAACTAATAATTAACTGTTAAAATCTATAAACAGCACTACGGTGATCGTATTGTTCATCTTTTACGGGAGGAAGGGAGAAAGGAGGAAGGCAATCTTTAAATTAGGCTTTAGGCGCCAACAAAATTCGCATGCGAGTCCGGGGGACTCAGGTGTCGAATTAAAGGTTAAGTTAATTTACTTTTAAAAATTTAGATATTTAAAATGTAAGGTAATCAATTTTAACAGTTAATTATTAGATAAAGGTGTAAATCATTATTTGTTTTGCATTTAACTAAAGTGCTTTCTTATAAAAAACGTTTAAACATAAAGAATTCTTGTTAAAAACTAAAAATCAAAATAAATGTAGATAAAAAAATTAATTACTCAATTAATAAAAATAATAAATTATTATTTTCAATCGTTTCCCCAAATTGCGTCAAACAAAAGCCGAGTCCGTCATAAAATTGTATCTGGGGAAAGGCGTTCGCGTTCGGGTTCACTCGGGTTTACTCGAGTGTCTACAAACAAAGAGAGATGGCTGCAGTAAAAATTAATTTATAAATGCGCCCGTCGTCTTTTATAAAATAATTTTTTTTTATAAAATTATTTTTTTATAAAATATTTTTTTTTATAAAATAATTTTTTTAATAAAATAATTTTTTTATAAAATAATTTTTTTTTTATAAAATATTTTTTTTTTATAAAATTACTTTTTTATAAAATATTTTTTTTTTATAAAATTATTTTTTTATAAAATAATTTTCTGCGAATCAATAGTAATAATAATTTTATAAAGCATATAATTAATTATTTATAAAACAAAATAAGTTTATTTAGCACTTTTAATTTTGACACAAACGGCGCCTCATACATACGTCAGATTTTATGAATTTTCAAATAGTTTCCTTTAATTCGAGAAATAATCTAGACGTATATCACTCAACCTATAAATTTAATCTGTCAAACTATGCTCAGTAAGTTTTTTATTTGATTTTTCTTTTTGGAAAATAGTTTCATGCAAAATAATTAAAAATAAAACCCCTCGACCGCTACGCGGTCTCGTGATTTTATTAAATTATTTTGCATTCAACATTTTCCAACAAAAACCAAACAAAAAACTACTGAGCCTAGTTTAACCGATTAAATTCATAGTTCTCGTGATATAATATATTAATAAAATCTGTAATATTTGGATTTTTTAAATAAAATTTTAAATTTGTCGATAAATTATAGTAGATAATAAATTGCACCACTTTAATTTGAATTATCTCAAATAGGGGGGCCTGGAGGTGAGGCGATAGGAAAAACTAACTTTTTTTCGCAAACTTCAATTCAAATTCTGCTTGCGCAGAACTTGTTTATTTAATGTCATTATAAACTATTATAAATTTGGTGTGGGTCCCATGTCTAATAACTGAGATATTGGTATATATAAAATCCACCAGCCGCCACTGTTCGAGACATAAGAAAATGTCTAATAACAATTTTCGTTTAATTAAATGGAACACCAAGTAAATTTTTAAAAAATACCTACCTAAGTATATAAAATAAAAAATGATCAATTGATTTATTAAAACATTGGCATTTACAAAAATAGTCCATTACAGCTTGGAATAACGTTTGTTAATAGTGAAAACCCATTACCAAAATGAAGAAGCCACCTTGACCATTTAAATGGCTGACTCAACAATGGGGTAGTTAAATTTTTTCTGACCCATACTTTTTATGGTTTTATTCAAGGCGTTTTGTAATATTAAACATTTCTGTGAAATCAGAATTTCAATTAAGTTTACCGTTTTCGAGATATTTACAAAAAATATAAATTTTTATGACGTCACAAACCCCACCATGTGACCAACATTCCAAGATTTCTATTGGTTGAAAATTACCCTGTTGTCAAGTTGTCTTGTCAATGATTTCATTCGGTTATGTCAGAAAATACCCG